ATATATATATATTTATCTATATATATATATATATATATATATATATATATATATATATATATATGAAGCCTTGTAAGTAATGAACATCCTTAAAAATTTTCTCTGTTGCTGCCATTCTTCTCTAAAAGGAATCCAAGTTTCTTGGCAAAATGCCTGATTTCAGAGCCAGGGCCAGGAAATACAAAGATGATCTGGGAACATTTCGTTGAGCCTGAAAGAACGAAGGGCTCAAGGAATCATGGGGACACAGGAGCCATCTCAAGGGGCTTCCAAATCCTTAACGTGGTATAATTTGAGCTTCAGAAAGGATAACAACAAAGAAACAAACACATCAAGAAGGAAAACAGATTGGTAGTTACCTGAGGGGAAGGGAGTGGGATGAAGGCGAAAGGGGCAGATGTGTACAGCGACAGAGAAAAACTAGACTATTGGTGATGAACATGATGCAGACTATACAGAAGCTTAAATATAATAATGTACACCTGAAATTTATAAAATGCTATAAACTAATTAGACCTCCATAAAAAAATTAAAAAGAGGCCCAGTGGTGTAGTGGTTAAGTTTGCACACTCTGCTTCAGTGGCCCAGGGTTCACAGTTTCAGATCCCAGGCTTGGACCTACATACCACTCATCAAGCCACGTTGTGGCAGCGTCCCATATACAAGAACTAGAGGAAGATTAGCAACAGATGTTAGCTCAGGTCCAATCATCCTCATCAAAAAAAAAAAAAGAAAGAAAGAAACCACAACCTAATGGATTATGACTCAGAGATTAAATGAGAATCTATGAATTCATAAAGATATAAATAAACTTAAAGAAAAATAAATGTTGAAAAGGGAAGCGTCTCATACAGAGAACTAATACATGTAGAAAGATTGATGGAATGAGAAAAATCACCACTTGGCCACCACAATTGCAATAATTGTTTCAGGCCAGAATTGCTTGATTCTAATTAAATATGATGTTATATTGAAATTGTAATGATAAATAGCATGTTTATATAGTCTCAAAATATCTATGCAAGTTATATTTATTAATTTCAAAGATAAAAATGGTACCTTACAGTAGAGAAACCTGGTAAACACCACCTTAATCAATTGACCAAGATCTAAATTGCCATAATTGAAAAAACTGCTATCAGCTGCCTTCTGATAATATGCACTGTGGCATACCTGCCAAAGAGCTATAGCCTGAATCTGAGATACATGCATATTTATTTAATAATAAAGCAAACATCATTAAACATTAATGTTTGGAGAATCTGAATGAAATGTATATGAGAATTTTTTGTACAGTATTAAATTTTCTCTAAGTCTGAAACGATTTCAAAAAAGGTAAAAAAAAATTGTCCATATTTACTCAATAAGAGAGAATAGAATATACTACAGGTCCAGCACTAAATTTAAAGCTGGAAACAAGGCAGACAATTATGATCTTCCAAAATATTCTCCTTGTAGCCCCTGTCAGAGACAGAATATGAACTGCTGAACCATAGGCAGGACATAGGAGGAGAATTCTATAAAATGTCATCCTTGCTCTCTAAAAGTTTAGATTCTCTATAATGAAACTGTAAGGCAATTTTACACCAAGAGAAGTATGTCTGTAGAATAAAACATATCTACATATTTGCCATCCACAAATTGGCACATAAATGTGTAACTAGAAAATGTTATCTTTGTGAATGTGTGCTAGATAGCCTCCATTTGCCCCTCCAGATCCATTCTCCAGCAATCTCTACCCTGTTTTGTCTCAGAAGTCTGACCTTTACAGATTGTATCAACTGGGCTCCCTGGCCCTTTGGATTTGGCCAATGGAAACACAAGCAAGAGATCAAAATGCAGAAGCAGAGAGAGGTGGGGGCATTTATTCTGTTTTCCTCCATGCCTGGCCATGGGTTGACAGTGGCTATCCACAGCTCCTGTTCAAGGTTCCTCACCTGCCTCTACACGTCTCACCAGGTTCTCATAACCACTCCCTCCCCTCGCACCTGTTTCCCACTGCTTCTGGCCCTGGGTGCCTCACCATCCTTTAATAGTTTCCCTTAAACTTTCCAACAGTTTGGAAACAAGCCATTATTACAAATTTTATAAAAAATCCTTTGTCCCAGCTGGAGCCATGCCCAAGAAGAAAGGAATCCAAGGCATTTCTGGCATCAGGGACACAATCCTCTCTGGCTTCTGGACATGCAACTCCCCAAGGTGCAGCAAGAACGTGGCCAATTAGCATATGGTGGCTCCTCCCTGACCCAGAAGCTTGGGGATTTTGTTTCTGTCCCCTTGACTGTACTTAAAACATTACGTTTTTGCTTATTGCTATGCACTTTTTTACAGAACATGAAAGTCCATAGAAGAGCTGAGGTCACAGATATATCTCCTTTTTGTCTGGATACTGAGTCTCCTGAAGAGAAGCTGAGGATTTGGGCAACAGTCTGGAGCAGAAGGTGTCTCAGGTCACCAATGATGAGCACAGGTCAGAAGGAGTGGGAAATCTGCACTTGGCAATGGATCTGCATGTGTGCTTGTGGATTTGTGTGACTTTGTGTTCATGGATGCGTGTGCACGTGTGTGTATACTTGCGTTTATGTTGTTTGATAGGTGTGTGTGTCTGTGTGTACTCTGTACCTGACTCAGACCCTGATTCTTTTCCTGAGTTAGACCCGATCTGGGCTCTGTTTTAGCACATGCAGAAGTTATCAGCCTCCTAACACGTGTTGAAAGCCCTCTGATTCACGCCTGTGTTCTTATATACTTGTATCACAGCTCAGGAGATGAGAGCTCAGGATTGGGATTGACATTGTTGTCTCTGAGGCTGGAGAAGAGGATGCCCAACCTCACCATGGAACCCAGGTCAGAGAGGGCTCAGACCTCTGCTCAGCAGTGTGTGCTGGTGTATGTGTGAGCCATGTTTGTAGGTAGCACACCCATGTGTGAGAGTAGGAACATATATTTTTTGTTTTTGTCTGTGTGTTTTTTACAATGTGTATATTACCACATGCATGGGTTACTCATGGTGTTTTAATGACTGTGCCTCTGACTGAAAAGGCTTAACCACCCCACATTGACTGCCTTCCCTGGGAAGAGTAGGCGTCAGAAGGGGCCAATGCACATCTCTCAGTGATGGAAGTGCATGTGCTACTAGTGGTGTGAGTATGTGCCTGAGTGCATGTGTGTTGTTGGTGTGTTTCTTCTATGTGGGCTTGTATGTTTTCGGTGGCATGTATGTATAGTTATGAGCTATGGATATATGGTGAGTTGAGGGTTTACCAGGTGCGGCATGTGTCGTGTGTTGATGCGCATTGTGTGTTTGTAGGTGAGTGGTAAATCATTGCGTGTTGTGTATGTCCCACTTTGCCTGTTATTTATGACCTGTATGCACATATGTGTTTTTACTGAACTGAACCACATACTGGCTATCCTCCCCTTATGATGGGAACTTGTCACAGGTGACTGGAATCATCAAATCAGCTGTATGTATGTTTGTGTGTATGCTTTGCATGTGTGCTTGGGGCTTCTGATTTTCCTCCATGACTCAAACATTTCCTTTAGTACCTTCCTCTGGAGCACCACTGACTGAGATAACCTTAGCACCAAGCAACTCCCTATTTGTGAAATGAATCTGCTATGATTTTTATATACCTGAGTATGGCTGAATCACTCAGAGTTCTTTAAGCCTTCACTTAATGTCCCAGGTAAAGACACATTTGGCATCATGCTGTATGAAGTTAGAGTGAAGAACCCACATCAAATGGCAGGGAGAACTTGGGAAACTCATGTAATTTCTTGGCCTCAGTTTTCAGTCTATAAAATGGAAAGAATTACATTTGCCTCATGAAACTTACAGGCCCTCAATAAATATTATTGTTTTAATAAATGATAATGAATGAGAGAGTCTTGTGTCAATTGGAAAATAGGTAATAGAAGTGAAGGGAACTATCTAGGCAAGGAACTAACAACATTTTGAACTACTTTGGCTTCTTTATAGCCCTAAAGCAACACCGGGTGTCTTGTACTCCTAATCAATGATGGGGGAAGTTTCCCTGTGCATTGGTGAGGGCACAGGCTCTCATAACACAGATATATTAGATAGAACTGCATGAAGAAATCAATATGTTATAATTTTAACCTACAGGAAATGGCAAGATGTAGAAATTATATCATTTATCTTACTGTTTCCTAAGAGTTAAAATAGGTGAGAGAACATTCGTTCATAGTGCAAATGGAAAGATTTTTTTTAATCTGGTATTGTATGGCCAATGTATGGATTTAGTTAGGAAATGTAGGTAAAGTCCTTAGCCTAGTACTCAAATGTTCACCAAAATGTTCACCATTCTTATGAAAGATAGTTTGTGGGCTACTCTGGTTTGGGAGCTATTCTGGCATCAAGTGGCTTTATATGTCCACACACTTTTATAAGGACCATGAGTTTACACCTGTAGGTCACTGGTACCCAGCCAGGTTCACAGGAGGAGCATGACAATGCTCCAGCAAGCCCACCTCAGCACTGGAGTGTCAGGTTACTTTAAAGCAGAAACAAATGATACCAGTTTTCTGAGACTCATCTACTATTTCTGCCACAGTGAATTGTTACAATTTGGCTCTGTCTTGCTATAGTGAATTATCCCTCTATGCTCATCAAGATCTACATTCACAGAGGACAGGGACCTTGCCTTTCTGTTCACTGCTGCGATCTCAGTGCTTAGTACAGGTCAATGTTCAGACTCAATGTTTGATAAATAATGGTTGAAGGAAACAGTGAACATTCTCTTGCTTCTGTGCAACAAGTTCTTGTTGGCCGCTTTTGGACATAATGTTTTCATTGAGCCAGAATGGGATAAAGCAAAGAAGCATGCATCCACAGGCGTGAGAAATTAATAGGAATGTATTTAAAAATCCATTGTTTTCCCAGAGAATTACAGTATGAGATATGACAGTTGTGATCATTCATTCTTGGGTCCTGTGATTCCCAAACCTTCATCATCCCCAGCATGTAGAAGAATACTATGAGGCTTGAAAACCAGAGCACCACGACTGAATTCCTCCTCCTGGGGCTCCCCAACCCACCAGAGCAGCAAGACATGTTCTTTGCCCTGTTCCTGGGCATGTTCCTGACCACGGTGCTGGGGAACTTGCTCATCATCCTGCTCATCATGCTGGATGCTCGCCTCCACACTCCCATGTACTTCTTCCTCTGCCACTTGGCCTTCTCTGACATTTCCCTTTCATCTGTCACAGTTCCAAAGATGCTCATAAACATGCAAACTCAGCAACAATCCATCTCCTATGTGGGGTGCATTTCTCAGTTGTATTTTTTCATAGTTTTTGGTTGTCTTGACAATTTACTTCTTGGAGTGATGGCATATGACAGGTATGTGGCCATCTGTCAGCCGCTCCACTACACAACTGTTATGAGGCAGGAGCTGTGTGTCTCATTAGTAGCTGGGTCTTGGTTCTTAAGTTGTGCACATGCCCTATTACACATCCTCCTCTTGGTCCAACTGTCCTTCTGTGCTGACAATACCATCCCCCACTTCTTCTGTGACTTCACTGCACTCCTGAAGATGAGCTGCTCAGACATCTTCCTCAATGAGCTGCTCATTTTCACTGAGGGAGGAATGCTCGTCATCTTGCCTTTGACTAGTATCTTGGCTTCTTATGTCAGTATAGGCACTACCGTCCTGAGGGTCCCCTCCACCAAGAGACTCTTTAAAGTCTTTTCTACCTGTGGCTCCCATCTCTTTGTGGTTTGTTTATACTACGGGACACTTGTAGGTGTTAATTTTTTCTCCTCATCATGGGGCTCCAATGACAAAGAAATAATTGCTTCAGTCATGTATGCAGTATTCACTCCCATGCTGAACCCCTTCATCTATAGCCTGAGGAACAGAGATATAAACCAGGCCCTAGGAATATTTGTCAATAGGGCTAACTTCCTTAAGCAACAATCACTAAATCCTTTTATTGCAGTCGTGAGCAGGGTGAGATGCGCCTCCTAAAATTATTGTATAGTTGACAACTCCATATAACTTTAAAAGAATATGCATTCTATTGTTGTGTATAGTGTTGTTAATATGTCAATTAGGTCAAGTTTGCAAACTGAAGTGTTAAATATTCTTTAATGCTAGTTATTTTTTCTGCTTGTACACCATCATTCATAAGATATGTACAAAATCTTATGCAAAATATGTCACACAATTATAACTGTGGAGTTGTCTTTTTCTCCATTTAGATATGTCAGTTTTTGCTTACGTATTTTTTAAACTATGTCATTGAGTACATGCAGATTTAGCATCGTGGTCTTCTCCTGGTGGACTGATTCTTTGATGTAGTGGTTTGCTGAAGCTGGCTTGCATTGGCTTCAAGTTGATTGTGCATATTTCTTCCCAACTCCACATTCAATGAAATCATGTTGGTAGATTTAAATCAGACATAATAGGAATAATGATGCTATGGAAATTGTCAAATGCTACTAAGTAAGGCTTCACAAAAGAGAGAGAGAGAGAGTCATTGTTTATGCATTTAATAGTACATCGTTGCATTTATAATTAAGATGTTATAACTAGGAGATATTTCTCTTAATTTCTGGCAATAGCTCCTACTTTAACATCTCATCTACTTCTTCTGATATTAGTATAGATATATAAGACTTCTTTTGGTTAGTGTTTACATGGTGTTTATTTTCCATCACTTTACTTTAAGCTTTTCTATGTCCTTATGTCTGTTAAGTGTCTGTTGTTAACAGTGTAAAGTTGGGTTTTGCTCATTTTATGTAGATAGACAATCATTATATTTCTGGAGAATTTCATCTATTAACCTCTAATGTCATCAGGATGTACTTGAATTTACATTCTCCATCTTACTATACATTTTCTATTTGAGACATCTGTTTCATATTTATTCTTTCTCCTTCTCCTTTTTTTGATTAAATATGTATTTTGTTATTCCATTCCCCCCATTAACTTATTAATCATACATTATTATTATTTTATAATTTCTTTATAATTTATAATTTCTTTATAATTATTTCTTACTTTCTCTTTAATTTTTTATTGTAGTATAATATACATAAGATTAAATTTACCATTTTAACCATTTGATGTATATGATTCAGTGGCATTTAGTACATTTATCACCACTATTTCATTCAAGGACTACAAAAGGAAACCCTATAAAACATCAATTCAGTTGAGTACTTTGTAGCTGTGATAAAGTAATGAGAAAGATATCTATGAAGCAATATGGAGGGATTTCCAGGATATATTGTTAAGTGGAATAAATCAATGTGTAAAAGAGCCTGTACAGCATGCCACTGTTTTTTTGTAAAAATTAAGGGGAAGTAAAAGATACATGTATCTGCTCATTTGAGCAAAAAGAAACACAAGAATAAATCAGAAACTAACAAAGTTGCTTACATGCAAGAGGTGGGTGGGAACAGGGCAGAAAATATGGGGAGATAAATGTATTTATTTATATAGTTTTGACTATGTTATATTTTATCTATTAAAACATAAATAGAAGTGGGTGGGGAATAAAGCAAAGCAGAATAAAAGAAAAGAAGTGAACTTAACTGTATTGCAAATTACTACCATAATTAGACTAAATGGGAAAATAAACTAACTAACCTCTGTAATTCTTGAACACAGAATTTTGTGCATATACTTTCACAATAAAGAAAGACTGTAAACAAGCATTTTGAGCTGCAGTTAGCTTGTCATTAACAGTCATACGGCATCAAGATTCTGAAATTGCTTAGCATGTATTTAAAGATTCATCAAATGAGTAAATGTATTGTGGAAAGGGAATACTCAATTTTGGTGAAAGGTGCCATTAACATGGAAAAGGAGAGGCTGGAAAGAACTCTATTGTGTCGAGTAGAATTGACGATATCAACTTGAATTATGATTTTTAAAATGTATAGATTCAAGAGTATGTACTGTACATCAATATCTATACTATTCCCATCCCCCATTCTTTCTACTCCATTCCTGACCCACCTCCTTTGGGTAACCATTCCTCTACTTTATTAGTTTCTAGTTTCTACTTAGTGTGTTTATTTTTTATATATTTCCTAGCTGCATCCTCTTACGTCATTTATAAACCTTGTAAGCAATTAACACACCTAAGGCCAATTTACCCTTTATTATTTTTCTCTAAAAGGAACCAACGTTACTTAGAAAAGTGGCTGATTCCAGGCCGGAGCCAGGATGTGAGGACTGTCCAAGAAAATTTTCCTGAGCCTGAAAGTAAAAAGTGCTCAATAAATCACGGGAACACAGTAGCTAGCTTGAAGGGGCTCCTACAGGGAAATCTTGAATAATTTGAGCTTCAAAACACCAAGAATGGATTGTGACCCAAATAAATAATAATTCACAAGTCTATAATGATATAAATAAATCAATGAATAAAACAAACGGGGTGGAGCTGATGGAAAATTCTTTCTTATAGGACAATACAACTGATAAATGTAGAAGAAATGATAGTGTTAGAAAATCACCATTTGGCCACCACATTTCTTCATTTAAAAATCACCAATGGATGTTAAATATAGTGGGAGAAAATTTATAAGAAAAAGGTTATGGTTATATAGTCTCAAAATATCTACCAAAATTATACTTATTAATTACAAAGTTTAAAATGGTAACTTTAGAGTAGAGAACCTGAAGACGCGACCTTAACAAATTGATCAAGGATAAAAATCACTAGAAACTGGAAAAACTGATAACATGTGCCTTCTGATAATATGCACTGTGGTAGATATGCCAAAAATATACGCCTGAAATATGCATACAGACATAAGTAAACATAGTAAAGTGTTAACCATTGGGAAATCTGGGTGAAGCATGTGTAGGAATTTTTTCTATCATTTTTACAACTTTTCTATAAGTCTGAAGCAATTTCAAAATAAAAAGTTAAAAAATCCTTGGTCCCAGCTGGAGCCATGTCCAAGAAGAAAGGAGTCCAGGGCATTGACGGCATCAGGGACACCATCCCCTAACACTCAGTCCCTCTGGTTCCAGGACATGCAGCTCCCCAAACGGCAATGAGAAATTAGCCAGAAGATTGGGGACTTCATTTCAGTCCTCTCACAGATAATTAAAACATTATCTTTTGACTCATTTCTCTGGAGCTGCTTAAGGCTACGAAAGTCTGATTTTGTAACCCTTTGCTTTCACTGAATTCCCAGGCAAAAAAACTCCAGGCATCGTGCTGTGTGAAGTTAGAGTGCAGAATCACCATTAAATAGTGGGGAGACCTCGGGAAAGTTACCTAACTCCTTGGTCTCAGTTTCCACACCTATGAAATGGAAAGAATTACAGTTGTCTCGTGAACCTTATAGGCCCTCAGTAAATATTTATTGTTTAAATAGAAATTCATATACGTGAGAATTTTTTGTGAGTTGGAAAGGACATAAATATGAATGAATGAAATTATCTAGGTAGGGGACTAAGAATATTTTGGGCAACTATATTTTCCTTGCAGCTCTAAAATAATATATGGTGCTTGGCTCCCCTGGCCAATAAAAGGGGAAGTTTCCACGTGTAATTATTAAGACCATGTACTCAGATCACACTGTCATATTAGATTGAACCACATAGCTAATATTTAATAATTTCTAATTTATAGCAAATGGCAATACATATACAGTAATTTGAGACACCAGTGCTGAGCCTTTGTTTGAGCATTGTCACACTCTTCCTGTGAATTTCACTGGGTGCCAGTGACCAACAGCTGTAAACTCACGGTCGCTCTAGAAGTGGATGGTCATTTAAAACCGCTGGTTGCCAGAATAACTTTCAAACCAGAGTAGTGCACAATCTTTCATAAGAATGGTGAATATTTTGGTGAACATTTTGGGTACTAGGCTAAAGGACTTTGCCTACATTTCCTGATTTAATCCACACATCAGGCTTACATACCCAGATTTAAAAAATTCTTCACACCTACGGTAAGAGTTTGTGTTCTTTCACCCATTTTAGCTTTTAAGAAATAGAAACACAAATGATATAACTTCCACAGGCACACAATAGTACAGTAGAGGACAGAAATGGCACCCACACACACATCGACATATGTGTGTTTATAAAATCTCTAATATACATGGCAGATAATACATAATATACATAGTAGATAATATATATAACTATGTAACTTTGTTACACTAGGCCCCACTTATCCATTTGAAATGTGTTCCAAGACCCCCCCAGTGGATGCCTGAAACTGCAGATAGCACCAAACTCCACATATACTATGTTTTTTCCTATACATACATATCTATGACAAATTTTAATTTAAAAATTAGGCAGAATCAGAGATTAACAACAATAACAATAGAACAGAACAATTACAATAATACGTTATAATAAAAGTGCAGTCTCTCTTACAAAATATCTTACTATACTGCCCTCACCCTTGTATTGATGATGCGAGATGACACAATGCCTACATGATGAGATGAAGTGAGGTGGTGTTAGGCTGCCATTGACCTTATGATCCATCAGAAGGAGGATCATTGAGCCATGACAGTGGTGATGGTTGGATGCCAGGACTAGACGATGTCTGGGGTTGACTGAGGGGAACTGAAACCACAGATAAGGGGGGATTACTATACTTTAAGGAGGAAACAACTGTTATTAGTTTGTGGAGGCTCATCTACTTTTCCTCCACAGTGAATTATTATGACTTGGCTCTGTCTTGGTGTAGTTAATTATCCCAGTTGCTCATGAAAAATATACTCATAGGAAAGAGGGACCTTGCCTTTCTTGTTCACTGCTAAATTCTCAGCACTTAGTAAAGGTCCATGTTCAGACTCAGTGTTAAATAAATAATGGTGAATGAAGCAGTGAACACCCTCTTACTTCTGTGCAACAAGGTCTTGTTTGCTGCTGTTGGGTGTGATGGTTTCCTGGAGCCAGATAGGGATAGAGGGACGATGCATGCATCCACAGGTGTAAGAAATTAGTAGGAATATAGTTAAAAATTCATTGTTTTCTCAGAC